CCAGTTGCAGTTGCCAGACTGTCTTCAAAGGCAGCCCCGCGTACAGCGCATTGCAATAATGTATATGAGATGTTACCAGTGTGTGTGTAACTATCATGAGACTCCACTCGTTCAGGTAGGGCCGTAGCTGGTACAATTTCCGCAGCTGAAGGAAGGTGCCCCTGGCCACTGAGTCCACCTAGGCTTCCAGAGTTAGACTGGGGTCCAGATGAGACTCAGTGGCCAAAATCTTCTTGCCTAGTTACTTGTTTGTAACACAAATGGTGCAACTTTTGGAAGAGATTCGTTTCAAGTTAAGAAACCTCAGTGGGAGTTAACTCTTGCATACCAAGCTATGTGACTCAGTGTGCAACTGATAATATCTATGCAGATTTCTTAAAATTGGGGCAGTTTGCCTTCAAAGGTAATGCCATTTGAGTAGTTATGTAAGAGGATTTTGACCAAAATGATTAGAAATAATTTTTTTTTAATCATGTAAATAATTGAGGATGAGTTGGTGGGCAGTGAGTTTTCAATTTCTTTTCAAAAAGGATTCCCTTGAGGCCAATATGTTGTTGGCTGGATAAAATCTTCCTATCTAGTCCCTTCCCAAAACTCTGAGCCACATGACTCATGAGTGCTCCAGGGAATAAAAAAAGTCTTTACATACCAACCAGGCCACATAGGAAACCAAAATGTACCCTCAAATAGAAATGAAGCCCGTAGCTTACCTAGGTAAGACCTCAGTTCAGCACTAACAAAGTCCTCAATCAAAATAACTAAACTACTGAGAATATTTCTTTATTTTATTGAAGGTGTTGCAAAAATTCAGAAAGAAATGTTCAAAGCAGTTTCAAATTTGGTTCAAAGTTTCCAAAAGCAATCAAAACATTGTAAGACAATTAAACATGGATGCAAATACAAATATCATTACCACAGATGCCTGGGAAGGCCATTTCCTCCACCCTGAACCAGCAGGTCCAATTACCGGTTGCTGTGTGGTTGTTGATGTTTAGTCGTTAAGTCATGTCCGACTCTTCGTGACCCCATGGACCAGAGCATGCCAGGCCCTCCTGTCTTCCAGTGCCTCCCGGAGTTGGGTCAAATTCATGTCAGTAGCTTCGATGAAACTGTCCAACCATCTCATCCTCTGTCGTCTCCTTCTCCTCTTGCCTTCACACTTTCCCAACATCAGGGTCTTTTCCAGGGAGTCTTCTCTTCTCATGAGATGGCCAAAGTATTGGAGCCTCAGCTTCAGGATGTGTCCTTCCAGTGAGGACTCAGGGTTGATTTCCTTCAAAATGGATAGGTTTGTTCTCTTTGCAGTCCAGGGGACTGTGTGGTACGTGCAGCAAATGCAGAAGTATCCCAGCCAGCTCCTTCCTGCTTCCCTGAGCAGCTAACCACTCTGGCGAGGAGGCGAGATGACAAGTCTCCCTGCTGTTGACTGGAACTGATTACAAGGAGCATATAATGCCCTGTTGCAATAGTTTCACTGGCTGCAGATTTGTTTCCTGATCCAAATCAAGGCGCTGGTTATGACCTTTAAAGTTCTATGCAGTTTGAGTCTAGGCTATCTATATTATCCCATATGAGTTGCCTTGGCTTTTAAGACCTTCAGGAGAGGCTCATCTCTCAGTCCCACTACCCTCACAGGCTTGTTTGGTGAGGTCAAAAGAGAGGGCCTTTTCAGTGGCTGTTGCCAGGTTGTGCAATGAACCCTATTGAGAAGTCAGGTTGGTTCCCTTCCTCTTGTCCTTCTGTCTTCAGACAAAGACCTTCCTTTTTCAGACAAGTTTTTAAATTATGTGGGGGTTCAGTAATGTATTTATTAAATTAAGAATTTAAAGAAGGGGTACAACTACATTTCAGTATACTCCTCCAAATATTCCAGGTTTAGCACGATGCAACTCAGTCCAAATTTTTCCAACTACATGACCTTATTGTAATTACAGGGGAAACTTGTACTTTTCTTTGAGGAATCATTTCTTTTTAAATACCCATTATAAGGTTATTTATTTTAAATCACTCTATATAGTGCTTTTTTTTAAAAAAAAAAAAACTGTTTTTGGTTATATGAATGGCCATGCCATTATATTCTCTCTGTGTGGGGGAATTCCCTGTGCTGATGGCAATGTGTTTGAGGTGTTGTGGGATGCTGTCCCTGTAGGAAGTCAGCAATTATGCCTACTCTCAGAAATGTTTTTCTTTTAAAAGTTTTTAAATAAATGATTTGACTTTAGTGTTACATTACATAGGCACTTGAATCTTATTTTGCATGTTTTGTATGAACTTTGCTAGGTACCAGTTTGTTCTTGAGCTCAAGTGAAAATGTCAGCTTTGGAATTTGAAGCCCTAAATGGCCTAGAGTTGAATAACTCAGGAACTGCTTTTTATTCACATTAACTTGCTTGACGGTTTGTCATGCATATGTATACATGCCCTACAGTGGGTCAAATCCCATTAATTCTTTCTAGACATCCAGGAAAGATCACACTGCACTGCACATCTTTCAAGTTGCTGTATTACAGTAAAAGCTGGTGTGCCTATTCAAGACAATATTCTGCAGAATATTGGTGTGATTGGGTTCTTGACAAGTCAGGCAGTTCCGAATGTGGTGCGGGAGTTACAACAGGTGACTCATTTAAATCATCAACATATTTATTCAAATTCAACATAGGTGTGTCAGTTACAACTTCTGTAGGATAAACTTGATTCCAATCGTATAACTGTCTTTCAAACCTCATAGAATTATTATGATAAACATATCTTCTTAATACTGTTCCTTGTCCGTTGGATTCCTCATTGGGCCGCCCCTCACCATGCAAATGGTGGCACAGCATGGGTGGCGAGCCAAATCCCCTTCCGGCGGTGGTTTGTTGTAGGTGGGATCTGGGTGCACTACCCTCTTCCAGTGACCTCGCCCCCTCGGAAAGACCACCACAGTCCATTCGGAAGTTTCAGTGATGGTCACTCCCTCCCTCTCTCTCTCTCTTTCTGGTATTGGGTCTGGCAGCAAACCTCCCACTTTCAAATTAGGAAAGTCTTTCAGAAGCTCACTCACATGTTCACGTTTCTTCTCTTCTCTCTCTTTCTTGTTCGTTGAAACCCAAAAGTCCCACTCTCCCATTCCCACTTTTATCTCCTCCTCCCACACGTCAATTCTTTGCTCCTCCTCCTTTCCCTTCCCTTCTTCTGTCAAAGAAAAATCTACTTTAACTCTTTCTTCAACCCTCTGCTGTGTTACCTCCCTCTCCCCTTCCTTGATCACCACGTCCTTGCTATCTGGAGGAGATGGCACACTCTCATTCTCCTTTCCTTCACAATTGGTTAGAAGATCATCTTGCTCTCACTTTGCTCATCTCTTTTCAGAGAAGATGGATGCACACCACTTTAATTTCCTTTATTAGAATTTTTTGATTTCGTGAGATCTTGGTAGGTCCACAGGGTATATAGCTGATTAACTCCTAATAGGTTATGATTGTAGTATTGTTCCATATATCTTATTTACTGGATAGAGACTGGCAAACTGCCTTCAACATCTAGACTATAATGAAAAGAAAGCTTGGATATTTATAATCAAAATTCTATGACTATATTTCTGCCTATTTTTAAAGGTCTGAGCTTACTTGTCTGAAGCTTTCCTCTATGTTTCATACTACACTGATCCTTGAATATTGGACTTCTTTGTATCTGAGCCCCTCACAAATATTTTTAGTAGTACCGTATTTCCCCGAAAATCAGACAGGGTCTCATATTAATTTTTGCTCCAAAAATGCATTAGGGCTTATTTTCAGGGGATGTTTTATTTTCTTCATGTACAACAATCTACATTTATTCAAATACAGTCATGTCATTTTCTTCTGGTTCCTGCACAATGGTGGAGGGTGGGGTTTCACTTAACTGGGCCTTATTTTTGGGTAGGGCCTATATTACAAGCATCCTGAAAAATCGTACTAGGGCTTATTTTCAGGTTAGTTCTTATTTTCGGGGGAACGGTATATAGAAGGAAATTCTGTTAAATGTTATATTAACTTCTCTTATTTATTTATTTTGTCTGTCTGTCTGTCTGTTTTGTATTACTATTCTAGGAAAGGAAATCATTGCTTCCCTCGTTGTTTGTATTTATATAAATATTATTACAAAGTGTGTATTTTTTTAAAAAAATTATTTCATTCCCAGTTATTAGTATGACAGGTGCCTTATACCACTTTTTCGCCTCTCTAAGAGATTAACTGAACATCCTTAAATTATGCCAAAGTCTAGCTCTTTTAGATGCTTCCTCTAGAACATGTGCCCTACAAAATATTGAATTGTAGACAACTTTCTTTGGCTATGGCTTGCAGCTTAGATTTCTATGAAGAGTGTATTTGACAGCTGAGCGTGTGAATAGAGATGAGACTGAATTGTGGAACCTAAGCCTACTTACATTTTTGTCAAGATTTTCTGGTTCACATGGAGTGATATTGAACTCTTTAGTCATAGGCTTTAATTTGTGCATGGTCCTGACCTGATGCTGTGCAGGGACACTCACTGCATCCCTTCATTCAATTCACTCTAATTATCACCAACTTCCTGGGGAGCCTGCTTAGATGGAACTGCAGTGAATGTTTGTTGTTAAGTAGCAAGATATTAGGCTGCCCCTTACATTTAACAAAGTAGTTTCAGGCTCTGAATTTACATATAGATTATCAGTGTAACCTATTCAGATTTGTATCTCTTTGTAAAACCACACTTGGCATAAAATGAAATCTAGTGTCACAAGTCCTTGCATGCATCGGGGTGTGTGTCTGTGTTCATCATACCAACTGCTTCCCCATTTTCTGTCTTATATTGCTTGCTTCCCCCTCATGTACATTTTTCTCTATTAGCACTCTAGATTATTTTCAGTAGTATACAGTATTAGTATGTGGATTACATCAAGAGGTGTTTTTTTTGTTCTTTAATAATAGTTAAGGGAGGTGATGGCAATTTACTTCCTGATGCATGTGTGTTAAAATGTAGACATTTTGTCTTTTCAGGTCCATGTGAAAATGGCGGATGAAGCTGTCTGTGTTGGCCCAGCTCCCACTAGTAAAAGCTACCTCAACATGGATGCTATCTTGGAAGCCATTAAAAAAACCCGGGCCCAAGCTGTGAGTCTGAATGAGTCTCTTCTCTGCAGCTGTTTCATATATAGAAAGCAAAGAAGCTAGAGTTTGTATTTAAAGATAAAAAAAAATCAAGGGGGAGAATGATTGAATATGCTATTCCAGTTTAGTTCATGTCACATGAGTTAAATGTGGCCGAAATCGCTACTGGAAATCAAAGGCTTTTGTAGCATCTGGCAGTGCCGGTTGCTGATCCTGCAGGTGGCTGCTGGATTCAGCTTTCACACCAGGGAGCAGCTTCAGTTCATTTCCAAATTTGCTGGGGGAAAAAAAAATCCCAATTAGTTTAGAGCACTAACCCTTTCAGTGCCATATCCTCTTCTTTCTGATGTTTTTTATAATATACTGGTGGTTTTGTTTTAATTTTGAGGGTAGCATATGTGAAAATAGTTGATAACCTGAGTAAAAGTAAATGGTGCATCTAGTAATTATTTTTCAGTGTTTCATGTTGCTGACAAAATGCATTAGGCTAGATAAGTATGTGGAAGTAATTTCCCTCTCTTTTGTCTCCTTGCCTAAACCCAGAGATTCAAAGTTTAACAAGAATGGCTGGTATTTTTAAAAGGATAGAAAGAATACTTTTTTGTTGTGCATCAAGAGATGCAAATATGGTCTTCAGAACAACTGAATGCAAAAGCATCTTTAAATAAAATTCGATGGACGGGAGTTGGTCAACACTAGCAATTACCCTGGAGTGTCTCAATTAGCATTATCATTTCTTTTGAAATAAATGTTTCAGTATGGTGCATTTGGAAAGGAAGGAGGGGGAAGGGGAAAATGGCAAACAACATTAATTAGGTAACAGACGTTGCAGATGTTTACATTGTTAGTTGAGAGGACTTAATGGGAATAGAAATAGTTGAGGCTTTCATCTTTATTCTGGCATGTATTTTTGTTCAGTTTTGAGTTTGTGTAGCATTAGAAATTATGAAAGTGATGCTTTTTCACATTACTGTGCTCTGTAATTATATGTCACGTCAACTGTAGTGAAGGGAGTTGCATACTGGATTTATTATTTTGGCACCGTGGTAGATGACTTCTTATCCCTAGTTTCAGATTTTGTATTCTGTTCTTTTTGAAGAAACAGATTTTGTAGCAATTTTGTAGTTATGAACATGAAAATTAGGATTAAGAATATCTTTTGGTGAAAAGATCATGTAGAGCTGTTAAAAAAGCCAAATCTGAAACTGAGTGGGAAGTATACAAAAGTGAGAGATGCTATAAGAAATTGCTTTCAGAATTCTCTGCTGTGAATTGAAATAAAATAGAAGGGGAGAATTTCCCCCTGAGCTGGTAATGTGGGAACTGCTACTGACTGGGTTTATATGTGACTCTCAGGATGTAAAGATATCCTTTAATTTATTTATTTATTTGATTTTTTTTAATTTTAAAAAGAAAAGGAATATGCACATTTAAGCCAGGCCTGTAGTAGATTTGTATTAAAGTAATTTTTATGTTGTTATTAGAACTGGGAAGAAAACTCTGACTCAAAAATGTGCTTATTTCTGCCCAGAGCTTGGAGCTGGCTTATTATAAAATAACAATCAGCTTGTAATTAGAACATCTTCCCACTAATAAAGATGTATCTAAGTTACATTATAATTATAACTTAATGAACAACAATTTCATTTCCTTGCAGTGAAAGTGTACCTTTTTACAATTTTCTAATATTGATATGGGGTATGGTCTCACAAAGTGATGAAGGAGGAATATCACCTGATTTGTGTGGCGCCTTGTGCTTTACATTACTAAAAGAAACTCTCTCTTGATTTGAGATAATGGGAAAGTTTTATTATTATTATTATTATTATTATTATTATTATTATTATTATTATTATTATTATTATTATTATTATTATTATTATTATTATTATTATTATTATTATTA